TCATTCTATTCTAATTTTAAATGCAGGTAGATGTATGCCATTAATTTGTTAATAAAGCTTCAACTTCTATTTTGTTAAAACACACATAATATTTACCCTTTTAACAACTTATAAGTATACAACTCAGTGGCATTCAGAATACTCCCAATGTTATGTAAGCATAACCACAACCCATCTCCAGAATCTTTTTCGTCATCCCATAAACTCTACCCATTAAACACATTTCCCATTCCCTGCTCCCTAACTCCTTGGTAATCTCTACTCTGCTTTTTGTCTCTATGAACTGGCCTATTCTGGGTACCCCATCTAAGTGGAAACATATAATATTAGTCCTTTTGTTATGGCTTATGTCACTTAGCATAATGTTGACCTTAAACGGCCATTTATTTTACCAGCACAAATGGGTTTACTAGGGAAGTGCCAAGAATCGTAATTCAGGACAAGCAAGCTATAGGAAAAGCCATAGGCAAATTGACAGACAAAAGAGAGGAACATTGTTTTATGGAGAGAAAAAAGGAGGAAGTCGGGAGTTGTTTTGAACAAAAGTTCATTGGAGAACGGCAAGAAGAGTTCAGAGAAATGAAGGTTTCTCATTAGCTGAGTTGCAGGGGTGGTGGATTTCTTGTAGGAGATGCAATGTAAATCTTTTCTGTTGGGGCCTGTAATTGATGATTCTTTCCTGTTGACAAGTCTGTTGGTGTCTGTAATTGACAATTATTGTAGTTAGCATCAGTGGTACTGAGTGAGAGCTCCCCCTATTGGTCTTCTGACTCCTTTTTAGTGACGTTTCCTTTATTTATTTTCACAATGTCTTCAAGGTTCATCCACCATATGGCGAGTGTCAAAAACACATTCATTTTTTATGATTGAATAAAATTGCATTATATGAATAGACTACATTTTCTTTATTCACGCATCTGTTGATAGGCATTTGACTTGTTTCCACCTTTGGGGTATTGGGAATAATGCTACTATAAACATTGGTGTACACATCCGTTTGAGTCCCTGTTTTCAATTCTTTTGGCTATATACCTAGAAATGGAATAGCTTGATTATATGGTAGTGCTATGTTTAACTTTTTGAGGACTCACCAAAACTGTTTTCCACATTTTACATTCTACCAGTAATGCACAAGGGTTCCAATTTCTCCACATCCTCACCAACACATTAATTTTTTTAAATTAAGGACTGAACTTTAATAATTATTCAGATTATATCAACTTTGGTTAGTCCATGGCTACAGTTAATAATTACAAATTCTAGAAATTTGATTTAAATATGTAGTTGTCCTTTCTTTTCCCCATTTTTGTTTTTTTGCCATCCCCCCTTTTTTTCTTACTGTTTCTGGCCCTGGCCAGGTAGCTCAGTTTGTTAGCGCATTGTTCTGATACACCAAGGTTGTGGCTTTGATCCTCAGTCAGAGCACATACAAGAATCAACCAATGAATGCATGAATAAGTGGAACAACAAATCACTGTTTTTCTCTCTCTAAAAATCAATCAATAAATAAAAGAATGTACTGTTTCTAAGCAGTCTTTCTTATTTTAAGAATGAGATTCAATTTTATAGATTCAAAAAAGAATCTTAATCAAAATCTCATTAGCCTGGCCTGCGTGGCTTAGTGGTTGAGTGTCGACCTATGAACCAGGACATCATGGTTCGATTCCTGGTCAGGGCACATGTCTGGGTTGTGGGCTCAGTCCCCAGTAGGGGGCATGCAGGAGGTAACTGATCAATGATTCTCATCATTCATGTTTCTCTCTCTTTCTCCCTCCCCCTTCCTCTCTGAAATCAATAGAAAATATTTTTTTAAAAATCTCAGTAGACTATTGGTAGAAATTGACAAGCTGATGCTAAAATATATAGAGAAATTCAAAGGACCCAGAATAGCCAATACAGTTTTGAAAAAGAATGAGATCAGAGGCCGCACAGTATAATATTAGCATAATAGAAACATATCAAAACATAGATCTATGGAACAGAATAGGATCCAGAAATAGATCACACATACATATTCAATTGTTTTGTGACAAAGTGAAGAGAATTCAGTGAAGAAATAATAGGCTTTTTAACAAATAAAGCTGGGATAGCCAGACATCCATTTGGGAAAAAATGAGCTTTGATTCTTCGTAGCCTATACAAAAAGTAATTAAATATTCATTATAAACCTAAGTGTAAAACTAAAACTATTAAACTATAACAATAAAACTTCTAGAAGAAAATGCAGGATAAAATTTTTTGTGACCTTAGGGTAAGCAAAGATTTCTTTGATAGAACATAAGCATGAGCCATAAAAGAAAAAAAAGTGTGAAATAGCCCTAGCTGGTTTGGCTCAGTAGATAGAGTGTCGGTTTGGCTCAGTGGATAGAGCGCTGGCCTGTGGACTGAAGAGTCCCGGGTTCAGTTCTGGTCAAGGGCATATGCTGCATATGCTCGGAGTTTGGGGCGTGCAAGAGACAGCCAATCAATGATCCTTTTTCATCATTGATGTTTCTATCTCTCTCTCTCCTTCCTTCCTCTCTGAAATCAATAAAAAAAACATTTTTAAAAAGTGTGAAATAAATACAAATCTATTCTTAGAAAGACATCATTAGCTAAATGAAAAGGTGAACCACAAACTGAAAGAAACTATTTGCAATACAGGTGTTGCATATTGGAGACTGGTATCCAGATGTATGAAGGACTCTAAAAACTCAATAACAGAACAACTCAGCAAAAACTGGAAACTTCACAATAGATGACATATGAAGCCAGACACAAAAGAGTACATACTGTATGATTCCATTTTTATGAAATTCTAGGTAAGACAGATTGAATTAATAGTATCAGAAAACATATCACTGAGTGCTTGTGGCCTGGGACGGTTGTGGGGACCGGCTGGGAAGGGGCACAGGGAGCATTTGGGGTGGTGGAAATGTTCAGTATCTCGATCTTGGTGATAGATACATGGACGTACACATTGCTAAACTCACTGAGCTGTACACTCAAAACGTGCATCTATTGTATGCAAATATGCCTTCGTAACATGGACTTTTAAAAACAAGTGAAAATACCTGCCCTGCCACTTATGTGCCGATTCCTTGAGTGTCTTCGCTTCTCAATTCTCTCGTCTGTAAAATGGGAAGAATAGTGTCTCCCGAGGTTGTTTTGAGATTAAAATGAGATTCATTCACATGAAGGGTCCTGTTGTGAGCACCCCACAAAGGCTAAATACTGCTGTTGGGGGAGGGGCACCTGGTCCCTCCTGGCACCCAGGGAAAGTCCGCTTGGTCCCTTCAGTTGCATCTTGTGCCTCCCCCTCCTGACAGCTGGGCCGCTCCAGGTCTGCCAGCTCTTTTTAAAATGCCGCCTCAAGGCCTTGGCACTGGTTGCTTTCTTCCCCCCACTCCCCTAACCACCCCCTTTGGCAACCATCAGCTTGTTCTCTATATCTATGGGTCTCTTTCTGTTTTGTTTTGTTTATTCTATTTTTTTTTTTTACTTTTTAAAAAAATATTTTTATTGATTTCAGAGAGGAAGGGAGAGGGTGAGTGAGATAGAAATTTCAATGATGAGAGAGAATCACTGATCGGCTGCCTCCTGCACTCCCCCTACTGGGGATCGAGCCTGCAACCCAGGCATGTGCCCTTGATCGGAACTGAACCTGGGACCCTTCAGTTTGCATGTGACACTCTATCCACTGAGCCAAACCAGCTAGGGCAAGTAATATTTAAAAATAAAAATGTTATATGAAAAACTAAAGCAAAAATGGGAAATACTCTTGCTTACATGTGGGGCTTTGTGGTAACTACCTCTGAAAATCTGTAACATTGTGCCAGGGATATATATCTAGTAAGCAGTGGAAAACAGAAACTGT